GAGTATGATTTTTAAAAAATAAATGCGTACCTCATTTTTTGCTGTGTATTTCATAAAGCTAATAACAAGTCGATACTACTACTAAAAGGAAAAGGAATGCATTAGATATTGATACTGCATAGATATCAGTATATGTCAAAGTTCATACCACTTACATAAATGCTCAATATCCTTCTTTGCATTATATCAAGAATTTATTATACCTCAATTAAATTTCCGATCCAATACTGCCACTTTTAATAATATTTTTCCTCACATGTACGTCTACTAAGTAGCCTCTTCCGTGTGTCTGTTGGATTCATTTTGTGACTATTGGCATTTTTATGGCAATTATCCTTTTACACATTGATTACATTTAACAACGTTCATAAAGGTGCACATGAACATAATTTTAAAATTGGTTTAACAAAATGTCCTGAAAGGGAAGAGGGCTTGTATGTTAGGTAGGTGTGTGTGAGTCAAACCATGTTACCAGATTTATTTATGAGTAGATATGAATGAATGTATAAAGGTTATTTGCGTGCTATTTTGCTTTATTTGAATTCATTCCCGTGGCAGGGTACGTGGCACCAATGCATTTGCCACTTTCTATTATTCTTATTATATTATAATTTATTTTTTTATTATTTTTTTTTTTTTTGTATATAATATAAATTTTCATTCGTTGCTGCTACAATTTTTGTATGCGCATTTATATTGAAAAATTGCATTTGCATGCGACGCGTAATTTGCATAGATTAAATTGGTATTTGCCACATAAGGTGCGCACTCCGAGTGAAGCACCCGCAATGGATGGGATTTGAAATGCAGATCGTTGGCGATTAAAAAGTGCTTATTTAAATATTAATCTGAAATTATTATTACGCCACATTTACATTCAAATTTTATTCTTTCATAAATGCGTTTTGATTGCTCTATTTTATAGTGCGAGTTGTGGACTACAAAAATTAAATATTTGTTTAAATAAAATATTTGTAACAAAAACCTATTTTAAATGTCCTTTTTATGGGGAATGGAAATAAAGGAAAGTAAACCACGTAGATGGGGCATAAATGATGTATGAAAGGAAGTTCGTAAATATTGCAGTAAATCACATTTAAGGATATGGGACATATTTTAAAGCATTTATGAGATCCAAAGAATACAGAAGAGTGGATGTAACTGAATGTTAAGTTTTGTTTTTCTTATATAGAATAAGTTTAAAATAATTTTTTTAAATCTACTTGAGCTTAAGAGTATATCTTAGTAGATTAAATTTTAATTTTGACTGTAGTGTGTTGTTTTTGAGCTGCATCAGAACTATCGATATCGATAACTATGGTTTGATAGCTGAGAATGTCAAACTGTGTTGATAGTTCTACACGATGAGGTTTGGCAATTCATCATGAATGATTTAATGCTAAAACAATGTTTCCAAATTGTGGAAATTCGCGAAGTTCAAAGAGCACTTTGTATATTTTATGGTCAACATATGTTAATCGACCTAGATGGCTACGTCAATAAGCAAAATTGTCATATATGGAACAAAGATAAGCCTCCAGCATTTGGCGAATCACAATTCATTCATTTAAAATGACTG